AATTATCTAAAACTACAGCTCTAGAATCCCAGGATCCATAGAAAGATACTTGTGAACATCTGTGCAAAACAATTAAACCATATGTTGATTGTGGTGACAGAATAAACTGAAATCCATGCCTAGCAGAAAAGAGTCATCAAAAAGTTCCTGAAAAACCCATACCATGAAAAATCTCCAAACGGGCTTCACAATGATGTTGCTTAAAAAACTGCATCTCAATTCCATTTGCCTACACTTTTTTTTAAAAAAATATTTTGGGGGGATTTTCAGCTCTAGTCTTTATATATTTATATGTATATGTTTCCATAAGCATAGGGAATTCCCCTTCCATCCCCCATTCCCATCCCCACTGTTTTCTCTCATATTATTACAATAACTGAATCCTTCAGTAATAGTAATAAATCCAACATTGTGCTATTTGAGTGCATCATGCATTGTAGGTATAGACCATGGTAGATAGTCTAGTATCCTATTGGCAAGATGTAGTTACCAGTGTAATCAGGGGTTGTTTAATTTGGGAGATGCACACTGCCAGGTATCTTCACTTCTTGGTATGCTTGTCTTTATTATACAGTTTCTCCAGGTTAACCAGATAGATAGATAGATAGATAGTTTGCTTATATAACTTTGGGGGTTTATTTTGTATGAAGTCTGCCTTATAACCGAGAGAACACATGATATTTGTCCTTTTGGATTGGCTCATTTCATCGAGCAGAATGGTCTCTAGTTGGGACTTTTTTTTTTTTTTTGCCAGTGGCTTCACAGTACTGCGTGGAGTAGATGCACCAGTTTCTTTATCCACTGTTCTTTCACAGGCATCTTGGCTGCTTCCACGTCTTTGCTATTGTAGATCCAATCTTGTGTTCTTTTTGTCTTAGTTGAATTTTATTCCTTTGTTCTTGGTAGGGAAATAAACTGGAAAATTGTAGTGATGTTAAGCCAAAGTTTACTTAGCTTTGGTAACTGGATTCTCCACGTTAGGATCCCGGCCCTAGTCTCTTTGCAGCGTAGGATTTATAGCTATCTGCATACCTGTGTAGGGAGCACCAAAGGGGTGCCTTGTTTTGCTTTTTTCTTAGTCTTCTGTGTTCCCTTTGTTGCTGTCCTCTTCAGGTTGGCTATGGTGACAAGGAACCCCACGGAATGACAGTGTATAACCCTCACACACATTAAGTCTGTAGGGTCAGCCATGCTCACTTGTAACCTGACTTTCGGACACAGTGGCTCCCATGCCAGCTCTCAGAAGCAGAAAATTGGAATTGGTGATCTTGTATCATATGAGGAAAAATCCAAAAATGTCGTAGAGAAATGGAATATGCTTATTTAGATGAAAAAATTCAAATGCACACATTGCTTTTCTATAACATATCTATCCATGAACTTCCTATAGATCCTACATAGGAGGATTTTAACATTTTCTGCTCTGAAACAGATTTACTTTAATTCCATTTTTCCCATGAACTTTTTAAAAATATCAGAATACACTAAAATAAAAAGATCCTATTGACAACATGTCTCAGTCAAGAGTCTCAAAACAGACAGAAGTTAAGAGATCAGGCAGAAGATCATCCACGCTCCAGACAAAACAACTGCTCAGGCACTACGGGCAGACTCAAGCAACGAATTTAACTTCCAGTAGGAAACGCCTAAACCTTGACCCCTCAGGAGTGCAGTCCATTCTACCAGAAGGTTCTTTCTTTTTTCCCTAGCTAGGCTAACTGATGATGTTTGAGCGATTGAGGACTTGAGGGCTGACGGGCCTGTAATTGCTTCCCTTCCTCAGGTAAACACAGCTGCAGTTTTCACAGTTTAAAATCATAGTTACACATATCCAGTATGCACTGATTTAATGAAATAACATTAAAATAGATGCCATTGCTAAAGATAGCAGCTAATTAAATTACTGGACCTTGGCAAAAATACAAATTAAGCCTTGTGTTTGAAGAATCAGCACTCAGAATTGTAAGAGGTCAATATATGTTAGTACAAAATCATTCTATTGCCTATTTTATAGATTCAAAAATGTAGATAATGGAAAAACCATTCACACATGTGATAACAATGATGTTCTAGGAAATCTACTTTATATGCTTTTATTTTTCCACAATTAATTTTAGCTTAGAATTGTAAATGTGTTTCAACAATAGAAGTGTGAATTTTGCTCTTATTTGTGTAACATTACAAGAACACATCCCTCCTGGTTTCTGGTCTCTGCTGGTATGAGAAGCACAGCCACATGGGGTTTGCCAGTTCCACAGAATGTGACTCTTAACTCACACACTGTTTTCACAAGGCAGACCTCCCTATGTTTTATTACTTAATAACAAAATTCACAGCACCTAAACTTTGAAAAACTAAGTTTAACTAGGAAAGTATTCCCAAGTGTCTATTTTAGGATACAGTTAATTTGCTTTCCCTTTCAATGTTTTCAATTTAGAGTAGAATCCCATGAAGTTTTGAAAAGATATGCTTTCTGTAGCAATATATTAAGTTTCCCATGTCCATTTTTATAACTTAAATCTTAAGAAATTAAGCTTTTGTAGATTTATATCTAAAGCAAAATGATTTTTTTCTGTAAATTAAAAGTGTTGGAAAACAATGGATAGAGAGATACACTTTTTCAGATAGTCTGATATTTTCAATCAAAAGCATGATTGCGACTTGAAAAGTCTGATACAATTACATAGCATTATTTATGACACTGTTAATTATGCAGATAGAACAGTGGTTCCTTCCTGGATTTATCGATAAAAAGTGATGATCAAAAATACTTCTGGGAGTCAGCACAGTGATTTAGCAAGCTAAGCCTCTGCCTGCAGTACCAGCACTCTAAATGGAAGTGGCTTCGAGTCCTAGCTGCTCCACTTCCCATACAGCTCCCTGAGTGTGGCCTGGGAAAGCTTCAGAGGATAGCTGGAGTTCTTGGGCTCCTCAACCCCCATGGGAGACCTGGAAGAACCTCCCGACTCCTGGCTTTGGATTAGTACGACTCAGCCATTGTGCACGTATTGGGAATGAACCAGCATGTAGAACACTCGTGTCTCTCTCTCCCTCTCCATAACTCAGCCTTTCCAGGAAAACTAAATGTTTAGATAGACACGGTTGTTCTGTGGTTTTTTGTTTGTTTTTACAAATACATATAATACAAATATATAAGTTGTCTTTAATACCCTATTCTCCAACTCACATTCACAAGAAAATGTTGTAATGAGAGAATTCCCAAACACCCAATACTGGATTATGAAAAGATACGGCACAGAGGAAACTCAAACCTCAGGTTGTTTGCTGCATAAAAAGAATTGCAAGCAAGCAAAAAGATTACATGTGATGGCAAATACATGGAGAAAGTAGAGCCTACATGAACACGGGCTTGCCAAAAAAGCGGGGGGAGGGTCACTTTAACAAGAGCCTGGTGGTATTTTAAAAAGTTACTCAGAGTCAATCAGTCATGCCACTCAAAGGTTTGTAGCCCAAGGAAGTTAAAATGCAAGTGCATTCAAAAACTGGCACTGGGATGCTCATGGCTGATCCACAATGGCCAAAAGGAAACCACAGCCAAATGTCCCACTAGCCGTCAATGAGGCCCAGGCATACAAGGACACAGGATTCAGTAACAAACTCAACAGAGTACCAATAGGTGTTACAACACTGAAAGTCTGGATCTGTCACACTTACTGAAAAAAAGACAAATACAAGATACCACATGTTTTATGATTCAATTTGTATAAAACACCCAGGATAGGCAAACCCATAAAGTAGGTTCATGGCTTCTGGGGCCTGGAAGACAAGACAACAGCAGGTGACTGCGACGCGGTTCAAGGTTTCTCGCCATAGTGATGACAACTCTGGAATTGCAAGTTAGTAATGACGTTGCTCTGATTTGACAAATATACAAAGGTGCTGTAAAAGCTTCCTAGACATCGTACTAAAACACAAGTTTAATTTGGTGTCAAATGTTTTTAAAATATACACACTTTTATAATGCTCATTTTCCATAAACTTTACAAAAAACCCTTCATATTAAAAACAAAGAATTTTTCACTTTAAACTTTGGTGTGCAAGCTATGTTTTCATTAAGAAAGTACCCTTTCAAAAGAGAAAAATTAAAAAAAAAAAAAGAATTTCTGACCTCACACTCAAATACAGGAAGCCTTTTCTTTTTCTTTTTTCACGGACAAAATTTCCATAACCAGTGTTTCCCAAAGAATGTTTCATGTTGACTTTGATATTCTCATGTAAGAGGTGAAACTGTAATTATTTTGATAAGAGAATAGAATCCAGGTTCTCCACAAATTTGCACTGAGCCCAATGATCACAGTACACCTGAGGTCACACCACAGGAACCTGATCAGTGACCTTACACCACACTTTCTGAAAAGCCAACAATTGCCTCATAAAGGTCATTGGACACCTAGATAGGTTCATCCTGATAGCTTTCAGCAAACCTTAAAACCAATGGGTTTTTTTAAGTACAGTATTGAACTGAAATTGAACATACCTCAAAGCTAAAGCAGACCGGAGGAGAAGGGTTGTGACAGAGAAAGAGGGAAAAGGAGAGAAATACACTTCTCCATGTACTTTAACCCACAGAAATCAGATTGTTAGCTTGGAAAAATTAGACCTTCACTCCCTCAGAAATCTCAGCCACCACTGCTTTGTAAATCAGAAATCAACACGTTGAACAAGTGCCCGTGCTGTGGTGATTCCCCCAACCGATGCACTGGCTGAAACTGATCCAAGCAGAAGCCAAGAGCCAGAAAGTCGGACTCCCACCTGAGCAGCAGAGACACAACTGTTGGTATCTCAACCACCGCTTCCTAACCTGCGTGTTGGTATGCAACCAGAAATCGACAGCCTATCTGGGACTCCAACCCAGGCACAGTGATCTGGGTACAGGTGGCCCACACAACATCTTGGGGTGATAACCAACAGAAAACACGTGTTAAATGTATTTGAGCCCATTGACTGGATGTCAATAACAAGCGCTGAGACTCACTTACCCCTTCCAGAGCAAGGCAGATCAGAGCTTCCCTGGCACTTCTTGATGCTCTCCTCAGCAGACAGCTGGCAGGATCGTGGGAGCTCACACTTGTTCCCGTACCAGCCTACTTTGCAGTCACATCTTCCACAATTACACTGCCCATGACCTTCACCGTGATCGGGGGGAGGGAATGTATACAAAAAAAATTTAGTCAGAATTTTCATTCTACCAGTGAGGTGAGTCAGATCTTAACAGAGTATAAAATATTAAGGCAAAGTCATATTTCCCAAATCTTTCCTTATTGATTTATATTAATGAATCATGATGGGTGAAGAAACTCAACAATTATGGACAAGATAAACAGTTCAGCAGAACAAAACCTGGTATCTATCAAAATCCAGATGCAAGGGATTACAGCTCTCTGCGGGGCCTGAAGGGAGCATTCAATGGATTTGGAAATTAACTCATCGGAAAGAAAGCCATTGGAAATGGAGAATCTGTTTTCGAAGCAAGATTTTTCTAACAAGCTACAACCATATAAAAATTGAGGTGGGGGGCACAAACTCAGAAAAATTAATAAAATCTAGAAACTGGAAGATATTCAACTATTTTTTCCAAGATTAGGATATATAAAGGACAAATACTATACAGATTTAATATGTACATAAGGTTTTGACATACAAATGCACAATGTTGAATGCTTATCATAAAACACTTATTATCTCATACAGCTACTTTACCTTGTGCAAGTATATTTGCCTCATAAATTTCAAGTTTACACTAACTATGGTTATGCTGCACATGCAGTTTCTTTATTCCTTTTAAGATGCTGGAAGTCAGTCCAATCCCTGCTCCCATCCCTGGTAAACACAGTCCAATCCCTGCTCCCCATCCCTGGTAAGCACAGTCCAATCCCTGCTCCCATCCCTGGTAAACGCAGTCCAATCCCTGCTCCCACCCCTGGTAAGCGCAGTCCAATCCCTGCTCCCACCCCTGGTAAACAGCTACTCTTGTTCTGTTCCTGTGAGGTTGACATTTTGAGGAGCCACAGGAGATGCTCCTGTATTTGTCTTTGGCTTTTGCCACTCCACACAGCACTCTCCACTGTGCAGCTAGACCACACTCCTTTACCCATCCAGCTGTTAATACTTGGGTTTGTCTCTATACTCACTATTGTGAAAAATGCTACCATCTATTTTCTGTTAAATAAAATGTCCCAATGGAGGAGGAGAGACTAGACAGCCACTTGGGACAAGTGATTCATGTCCTATGAGTATATATCTAGAAATTGCTAGATCAAGAGTTAGTTCTATTTTTAATTTCTGAAAAGGAACTTTTAATTTTTATAATGGTTCTGTAATAGCTGTTCCAATTTACATCCCACTAACAGAGAGGCCTTTTCTTCACATACTTTCCAACTCTTTAAGAATTTTTTTTTAATTTTTTATTGCAAAGTCAGATATACAGACGAGAGAGAGAGAAGATCTTCCATCTGATGATTTACTCTAAGTGACTGCAATGGTTGGAGCTGAGCCAATCCAAAGCAGGAGCCTGGAACCTCCTCTGTTCTTCCATGTGGGTGCCAGGTCCCAAGGCTTTGGCCCATCCTGGACGGCTTTCTCAGGCCACAAGCAGGGAGCTGGATGGGAAGTGGAGCTGCCAGGAATAAAACCGGCACTAATATGGGATTCCGGTGCGTTCAAGGCGAGGACATAGCCGCCAGACCACTGTGCCAGGCCCAACTCTTAAGATCTTTTGACAATAACCATTAAACAGGTCTGAAGTAACCTTTTATCATAGTTTTGACATTTGATTATTAGTGACACTGAACATTCAATCAAATATCCACTGGTAATTCACATTCTTTGAACAGCGTCTATTCAAGGCCCGTTATTTGCAGTTGGGTTGCATGAGTTCCTTGTCTGTTTTAGATATTAGCATGCTACAGGAAATGTGGGTTGTATTCTGTTTCGGCTGCCTTTCATTTCCGACTGCTTCCTTTGCTGCGCAGACAGTTTTCAGTTGCCTGTAGGCCCACTTCTTTACTTTGTTGCTGTCTGTGCTTCCACTGTCATATTTAAACTTGTAATGTCACAACCAACATCCTAGACATTTTCCACGCTTAATTGCATGGGTTTTATCATTTCAGAAGTTACACTTAAATCTTCCACACATTTCGAGTTAATTTGCATAGGTCCTATTAGAAAAAACCAATTCAATTGTTTGACATGCGGCTGTCTATTCCCCCAGTAAACTCTTTGTAGAGCTTATCACAGCCACATGTAGCTTCCTGGCGTCTTTTTTGAACATGAGATGACCATATATGGGCAGGTTTATTTCAGAAATTTCTACTCTTCCATGTGGTTTTTATGCCAGCACCTTACAGTTTTAATTACTACAACTTTGTAAAACAATTGGAAGCATTTTGTAGTTCCTTATGGATTTATTTTTTCTGTGAAAAATGTCATAAGAATTTTGATCATCCACTGAATCTATCACTTGGGACATTACGGATACTTGGACAATATATTCTTGGTTATTTGAAAATGTGCTATTCTCCTATTTGTCTTCAATTTCATCTTTTAGAATTTCAATATACACATAACCTCCTTACCATCACTATAGTATTTTCTACTGTATTGCAAATAAGGTTGTTGATTAAAATATGATCTTCTCTTCTATACATTTTGCACTTCAAACACATTTGTTCTTTGCTAAGCTTAGCAAAAAATATACTTTGTCTACATACCTAGTCTACAGCCCTTCACTTAAACACAGTAATCTGTATGAAGTTTGCACTCCTTAAAGACCAACTTTTCATATACAAAAGAAAAAGTGTGGAGAGAAATTTCTTGGCACAGAACACAGAGGCAGCAACACAGAACCTTTAATCAAATGGTTTGTAATTATCAGCAGCTACATTTTTGGAGTCTGTAACTTTTGGCTTTTATTGGGCCCAGCAGCGCTGTGGCCTAGCAGCTAAAGTCCTCGCCATGAACGCACCAGGATCCCATATGGGTGCCGGTTCTAATCCCGGCAGCTCCACTTCCCATCCAGCTCCCTGCTTGTGGCCTGGGAAAGCAGTCGAGGATGGCCCAAGGCTTGGGACCCTGCACCCATGTGGGAGACCCGGAAGAAGTACCTGGATCCTGGCTTTGGATTGGCATAGCATCAGCCATTGCACTCACTTGGGGAGTGAATCATCGGAATCATTGGACAGAAGATCTTCCTCTCTCTCTCTCTCCTCCTCTCTGTATATCTGACAATAAATAAATCTTTAAAAAAAACACTTTTGGCTTTTATCTTAAGAAGTCTCTTTCCCTCTTTTGAACCCTGCTGTAAGTTAAGATAAACTTTGAAAACAGAGCTGTGCTACAAACAAATTCACAAATAATTCCCTGGGAGCATGCTTCCTGCCACTGGGGTCCACCTGTACTTGCAGGCAGCAACCCACAAAGCAGTGTGCCCAGCTGCAGGCAGGCAGAACAGAGCAGGGATGTCAACAGAGGTGTGGTAGGAGGCCAGCTGCTGAGTTCTCCAGCGGGGCAGTTGGAGTACAGGCTTAAGAATACAGCAAGGGATACAATCAACAAAGTAAAAAAGCAACCCACAGAGTGGGAGAAGATCTTTGCACACTATATAGGCGATAGGGGGCTAATTTCCAGGATATACAAAGAACTTCAAAACAACCAAAAAACCAAAACAAGCCACTTAAGAAATGGGCAAGGGAAATGGGCAAACATTTCACAAAGGAACAAGTCCAAATGGCAAACAAACATATGCAAAAATGTTCCAGCTCCCTGGCAAAAAGGGAAATCCAAATTAAAACATCGATGAGGTACCACCTAACACCAGTAAGATTGGCCCACATAAACAAGAACACCAACGATGCTTGCTGGCGAGGATGCGGGGAAAAGGGAACCCTACTCCACTGCTGGTGGAGCTGCAAGTTGGTACAGCCTTTATGGAAATCAGTCTGGAGAACACTCAAACAACTCAAAATCTGCATACCATATGACCCAGCAATAGCACTCCTAGGAATATATCCAAAACACCTGTTCCACGACAAACCAACATGCATCCCTATGTTCATAGCAGCACAATCAGTAATTGCAAAAACATGGAAGCAACCGAAATGCCCATCAGCAGAAGATTGGATAAGAAAGCTTTGGTTCATCTACTCCATGGAATACTACTCAGCTATTAAAAAAAAAAATACAGTTCTTTGTGGCTAAATGGGCCCAACTGGAAACTATAATGCTAAGGGAAATGAGCGAATCCCAAAAGCTTAAATACCACATGTTTGCCTTGATTTAATTTGTAATTTTTGTTTGGTTGTTGGTTATTTTTTGAACCTGTCATTGATACTGTCTCAACCCAGATGTTTCGAAGAATGGAACTTGCATTATTTTTAACATTGTTTACCCAATACTATGTCAATTAATTCCAAAAAAAAAAAAAAAGAATATTTTTCCATCTGAGGTTCATTCACATGTCAACAATATTTTTAACTGTGGGGAAATACAATAAATCCCCAAGTCTGAAATCATTAAAAAGTGATTTTTCAGACTCAGACTCTGATCCATTTAATATCAAGGGGAGTAAAATTGGTTGTAGAAGTTCAATATCTGGCTGTGCTTATGATTCCAGCACCTGACCAGGAGGCATCCTTGGAGAACCAAACTAACTTCCAAATTCCCGGCATCAGTCTGGTCAGACCCAGTTACTGTGGGTAGCTGGGGAGGATTCAATGGGCGCACATATTCTCTTCCCCCAGGGATTGCCAACTCTAAGTTCACACACACACACAAAACATGTAATGTGGACCTGGCTCAACAGCTAAATCCTCCGGCGCGGTGGCGCAAGTGGTTAAGGTCCTCACCTAGCACGCCCGCTGGGATCCCATATGGGCGCCGGTTCTAATCCCGGCAGCCCCGCTTCCCTTCCAGCTCCCTGCCTGTGGCCTGGGAAAGCAGTCGAGGACGGCCCAAAGCTTTGGGACCCTGCACCCGCGTGGGAGACCCGGAAGAGGCTCCTGGCTTCGGATCGGCATAGTATCGGCCCGTTGCGCTCACTTGGGGAGTGAATCATCGGATGGAAGATCTTCCTCTCTGTCTCTCCTCTCTGTATATCCGCCTTTCCAATGAAAAAATAATAAAAATAAAT